GGGCAACGAGGAGTAAGAGCAAGTGTGCAGCTACAAACACTTGGAAGAACACAAGCTTAGCTGTGGCACACCTCCCACCCCCTCAGGCTTGACACCAGAAGATTTATCAAGTCTTCTGAGCCCATAAAGCATTTCTACAAAATGCTGTGTGCATTCAGAGAGGTTACATGGCACTGAAAATATACAACAGAGAGAAGTTAGACACAGAATGGCATGTGGAAAAATTTAAATTATCTATAAACACACAGTTCAAACTCTACAGGATAAAGCCAAGGGTGTGGTTAAGAGACATAGAAGATGAAATCAAGGATTAATACACCAACATATCAGCAAGGAACAAGTAATTAGAGAACTATCTCAAATATTTTTATGCTACTTGTCCAAGCCAGTTAAAAAATGCTCCCCAAAAAATAGAAGCGTTGTTCTAACTATAAAAAGACAGATCAGAAAACACCCACATTACACATGAATAAAAATTGCCCAAAACACTTGAAGAAACTGAATATAAAAAGCATTTTTAAGTTTTCTTAGACCTTTATCTTTGCACTGCAGCATGCAGCCTACCAGATCTAGGAGTTCCTAGGGTACCTGTCACCAGGACCCCTTCAGCATGGCTTCCAAGGGCTTCAATTCCCTCTTAGAGAAGCAGAAAGGCTCTTACCAGATCTGCTGGACCTGAGTTAAACTGGGTTTTCAGACTGCCCAGACACAGGTCACAGCATTCAGGGCTATGAGAGTTCTGGGGGGTGGGACTCCAGAGAAGTTTGGCTCATCACACCACACTGAGTGCAGCCCAGGACCACAGACATCACAAACCCTTCAGTTCTGACTCCAAGGGCTTCCCTGCCAGCACTTGTGTCCCAGGGGAGGGACCAAGCTGACCTTCAGCAGAAGCCTGCTGGGCAAGTGGCTTTAATACCTGCCTGAGGAATGCCAATTAGGATTGACCATTCTCATGCAGTGAAAGCCTGCAGACTTTCTCCCCCGTGGAGAAGACTGGCTCATAAATACTCTGTCTGAAGGACAACTGGAGCAAGATCTGATGATGATGGATTAGTGGTGATTAAATGAGCTTTTTTACTACTGCAGTTCCAGATGTTCCTACATAGGGCAGCTCTTGCTAGCCAGGGCAGAAGTGCTGGCAGCACATCCTTCCAAGCAGGGATGATGCCCTAGTGCTCAGGCATCTACACACTCCTGTCACAAAGCCTTCAAGATGGACTCAAAAACCTGCTTGGCTTGTGTTGAATAAACTACAGTGACAACTGGAAACAGAAACATGGAAGGAACAGAGTTTCCTAAGACAAGAACACACCACCCCCAAGGCTATCATTGCATAGGGGTTTTTTCTAACCCACAATCTACACCCTTTAGCTCTTGGATTAACACAGCTAGTCCCTGGATTCACTGCACCATTTGCTCCTGGCCCCACACACCAACTTGGCCTGTCAGAAATGGCTCTCAGAAGAGCAATGAAGGGAAATTTAGACTCCTGGAGATTAGGTATGTCTCCAATTCTGGCTGCTGTCACGCCAGGCACTTAGCAGGGATGATGTGCCATGCTCTGAATCTGCACCATCTGCTGCTTGTTAGCTGACAAAGGCAGCAACATGCCATCTCTCCACTAGCTGCTGCTCATTAGCTGACAAAAGCCTTCTCCAGTGTTCATACTGTTCTTTCTGTAATAATCTAATGCAAAGATATACAAAGAGCAAAGAAAAGAGGAAAGAGAGATGAAAGAGTCAATGATGAGCTTAACTAAGAGCATTAGTGCACTCTTAAATCACAAGGAGAGAATCCTTCCAGCAGCAAGATTGCAGGTCTTGGCCCCAAAGGAAGATGCCAGCAGGTAGGTATAAAGGTCAGCACTAAAGATAATCCATTTCCCTCAAAATGTTTTGAAATGTGCAAGCACAGGTTTCTAGGCTCTTTCCATTCAGGTTCTCTGGTTTGTGCCATTTGGGATTTTCTACATTTGATTTCCAAACCCAAATCATCATCATTTTCCATTCCAAATCACCTACAGAGCTGAAAAGCAGTAGTAGTAGTTTAAAGCCCACTAACATTTAAAAGAAACCTGCATGACAGCTCTTGGACTACACAGGCTGATGAGCAATCCAACAGACAAGAACCAGCAGAGCCAGGGGGAATGAATTACAAAAGTGTTTCCATTTTGGAGATGCACTGATCAGAGCAGATGACTCAAACTATAGAGAACTCAACAAAACATTTACATTGCTATGGTCAATTGAGTCTTTTTCAAGTTCAATTAGTGGCTTGGAGGAAAAGCCAAAGAGATACTCTGCTTCAAGGAGGAGCAGGGCTTATTTATGACAATAAGTCACTGGCAGCTTATCCCCTCCCTCTTACACCTTTTCTCACCTCTCTTCTCCAGATAAAACTGGGTAGTTTTTTCTGTCATCACTTTGCCATGACAGAAGGCAACAGCACCACGTTCTGTGCACTAAACAGCACAGAGACAGCTGGCATGGGAAGTGTGAAGCCCACCAGGGGTCAGGGCCCAGAGGAAGCAAGGAGGATGACAGATGGTATGGATTCTGTCAGTGGTGGGAGGTGAAGAAAAAACCCAAAAGCAAAGTGAGCCGGTTAACAGAGATGGTCCTGCAAAGCAGGAGACAGAAAAGGGACAAAAGAACAGAGGGAAGAGGTGAAATGTGAATGGACAAGGTGCAGGTAGTTGTTCTTTTTGTTGTATTTCCTCCTCAGGCCCAGAGCAGCACTTCTCACTCCCTGGCTGCAGAAAATGAGACCCAGTTGAGCTGCAAGTTCTCCTGTTTGAAGGAGGACAGAGAGGATGAGATGCTCCAGCAACAGAAGTGAGAAAGTGTTGCTGGACATCCATGTTCCACCATAAGGCAATCCAAAAGAGATGCTGCACATCTTTAAAGGTTGGTTTTTTCCTTGTCTTCTCAGACAAAGCAGTAAGGCTGCCCTGCAATGCCTTAACTGTGACCTAGGAACTCTTCTAACACAAGTGGCAGTCTCCCTGAAGCTATTAGCAAGGCTTCAAAAAGGGGAAGAGGAAAGAGGAGTCTAATTATCCCTGTTAATTTGGGCAGGATCAGAAGGATGTGCACCCAGAAAACTGTGAGCCAATCAAGAGGGCTGGAAGTATTGAAATAAAGAAACTCAAAGGGGAATTCTGCAGAAACTTGAATTCAAAGCTGCAGCATAGCCCAGACCAGTGAAGTCTGAGTCTATCCTGACAAAAACAACTTTTACAAACTGTCATTTTGCAGCTATTTATATTTTATTCTCAGTTCCCACGTTCATTGCTGTCTGCAGTTAACTAGATCCAAGGGATTGGGGTGAGGAAAGTTTTGAATGGAGTCACAAAGTGTATTTTCCTATTAATGATTCATGGGTAAACATCCAGCCCAGCCTTGATGAAGAAAAACTTCATTAAGATTTTCTAATTGTATCAGGTGAAATAAAACTCATGCAGGGCAGAGGATGACAACACTCTTAGGAGACACAAAACCTCCTTGTTTGTGTCAGAGAAATAAAGAGAAGTGCCATCACTCAGCTTGTTTTAAGAAGCAGAAATAGCACACCAAAAGTCATATTCAGGAGCCAGGTAATGAGGAACCTGAGAGCCACGTAGCTGTTGTCACCAGAAAAACCTCACTGAAAGGTACAGGTTGAACTTGGAACATTTTTTATTCTTGCCAAAGCTCTCACTAATATAAAATTCTGGCAGGCTTTAAACAAATATGCATGACAATGATTTATCCTTACAACCAGTCCACCCTTCCCCAAGATGTTAAAATACAAGAAAAAAATAAAATCAAACCATCTGCAACGTTGCATCACAAGGCTGATGCTTTATAAAGACTGCAAAGGAGCAGATATTTCATAGAGATGCTTTTCATACTTTAGGAAGGGAGAAAAACTCACTGCCTTAAATCTGAGCCATGCACAGAGATTTCTACAGCAGTTATTGTATTGCCTTGACTTTAAAAGGGATGGATAACTGGGGTTAAAGAAAAGGCATCAAGTTAAAAAATGCAAAAGCACTTAACAAAAGACAGTATTTCTAACCTGCTAATTTAGAAGAAGATAATTCTTTCCTTCTTCTGCTCCATAAGTGAAGCTAATGACTTTTTAGCAGTGTCCTGGGCACGGTAAGCTTCTTATAATTCAGTTTAAGCTTCATGAAAAGCTCCATAAAATACACACGTAAAGGAGCCACATTTGTTAGAAAAAAAACAGTAACTTTTCAGCAATGTGTCAGCTGCTCTAGAACCACATGAAACTGGAGGATTTTTTCACTCCCAATGGATTTCAAATTGTAGTGTCATGCTGCAGCATAATCTTGCTGTCTGGGTAAAATGTGTAGGCTAGAAAGTCTCATGCTAACTAAAGGTTGAATAATGTTAACTAAAGCTTAATTAATTCTAAGAAAAAGAGGAAATCACAGAAGAGAACCAGATCAGACTTTTTTAGCTCCCTAGAACTGGGAGTTGTGAACTGGGAGGATTAAAACAGGTAAACATCATTAGCCAATTCATGTGGTCAATGTTCCAGAAAGTTCATATTAAGTTTTGAAGGTTTAAGAATTAGTTTTGACAGGAGAGAACAAAAGCAACAGGATACAGCCAACAATTCTGAAATGAAAGGAGTTCCTCTGGATGGTGATGGAGGTCAACTTATAGCACAAGGTCAATGTGCTGAAGCAGCACATACAGGAGCCATAAAAATCACTGAGCATCCCCCTTCAGCTGGAAAAATAAGTCAAGTCTGCCTCAATTTATCTATGAATAGATGTTTAGGCACCTGCTCCCAAGTGCTGTATCAAAACCAGACCCTCTGAAGAACATTAAAGAGCGGAAACAAAAAAGGCTGTACATTTTTTCCCCAAAATAGCTCCATTAAGAAGCTGGTAGTAGCTTTGCTCCCTGGAGAACACAACAGTACCACTACCTAGCCACGCCTTGGGATATGAGAAGCATGTAAAGGTCATAGCAGTGGTGACTTACGACACTCCTTCTCATCACTGTCATCAAAGCAGTCTGGCAGCCCGTCGCACTGCCAGGCCCCCGGGATGCAGCGCCCGTTGCTGCACATGAAGTTCCCAGGGATGTTGCACTCGGTGGTGAAGTTATTCCCAGGCAGCAGCTGGCTCTCTGCAGCAAACAAAAGAGAAGAAAGTTTACAGGGGGGGTTTTACAGGCAGCAAAAGCAGACACTGAGCGAGCTGTTCGGCAGCAGCTGAATGAAAAGGAGACTCATGGATCTTGACGCTGATAATTTTGTCGGTGTTTGGTAGCACTTCCTTCTCCTAAACTATCATTTGATGTCTTCTTCATTCACATTTCCCATTTTACAGGTTTCTTTCTAGGAACACAGATGCAGCCTTCAGGTTGAAGCAAAGTTTGTTTAAAAAAAACCCTAAATCTCCTTCACAGGGTCAGTCTAAACACCAGTAAAACAGACGAGGCCACAAGAACTCAGCTCTGGAGTTTTGTCAGTTCAGAACTTTCAGAATATTATGATGATGTTGTTGTTCCTCAAGGGCTAGGAACTAGGTAACACATTGACTGGTTCATACTAGGTTTTCAAGTCAGTTTTAAACATAGTGGAGCTGACTGAAGTCAGAACTGAGCTTCTTGGTGCTTATCTAGTCCCCTGGCATAGATCTGTCCACAGGCTAAGAGTGTGCCAAGTGGAGAGGGTTTATTAGCAGGATGCTGGAAATGAAGAGAGCAGTGCAAGAAGATTTGCCTTCAAGGTTAAACACAGCTCTAGTCAGTCATTTTAATCCACCACATTTCCCATTTTGTGCATGGGTTGTGGAATGCAGATACCACAGAAACACAAACTCCAGTGAAAGGAGAGAATGATGCTCAGTGGTTTTACTCAACACCAAAATAGCACAGCCTGTTGTTGAGCTGGGGGAAGCTGCAAGACAAGGGAGTGGATGAGAGGAAGAATTTAATTCCCCTTGTATTCCTCCATCACACTCCAGACCAGTCCCAAGCAACACTCAGTTGTACCTGCCCCAAACAACAGATTTCCTCTCAAATGCAGCTTCTTGCCAAGGGCTCGCTGTCCCAGGGATGGCTTAAAAATCAGCCAGCACAGAGCAAGGATCCATAGAAATTTGCCCTGGGCTGTTAGAAGACAAGTTAGTTGATAAAAAGGTGGAAATAAGCTCTTCTGAAGCAGGTGGGGCAACCTCAGGCACTGGCAGCACGATGTCTTTTTAGCAGTTTCATTCCAACCCCAGTCTCCTTCCCTGCATCACTGCTCTTCTGATCAAGAAAGAGCAGCTCTGTTCTCTCCACTGTGAGGGCTCCAGCCTAGAGCACACTGGGAGCAGCTCAACTCCAGCCTGCTCAGGCAGGGTCTCCACTGCTCCCAGCAGCTTTTGGGGAACCACTCCACCCACCTCTACCTCAGCCAAGGGAACAGTTTGTCCTTGGCTACTCCTGCCACCAAACGCTGAGCAGATATGGTGTTGTCCACAAGCCCTGGGGCTAGAGCAGCCTTAGAGCATCCCTCTTAACTAGCTCCTGTAGTTTTGTTTGATTTGGTTTGGTGTTTTTGCTGTTGTTGTTGGGGTTTTTTTTTAGCTTAGTGATTGAACACATCCAGATCGTTGACCTGCACCTTGTAAGTAACCACCAAACCAAAATTGCCACTCTCCAGCAGCTACAGAGGGTGAAACTCTCAGTGTTGCACAACCTCCTATTAGGAAACAACTCCCAGTGCTCTAATAACACCCCTGTCTGCAACTGGATTACCAAACTATTACCAAAAATTACCAACTATTGCAAAACTACAGCCTGCTTTCACCAGATCAAGACCTGAATGAGATGAGACACTTGGGTGTTCTCTGCAAGGTCAAGGCGTAGCTAATATACCATACCAAGTTTGTCATAAAGCATCCAAAAGCTTCAACAGCAGAACTTCTCTCCTTTCTCCACACTCCCCCACCCAAAAAAAAGCTTTCAGGTCAAAATGGTACCACTGGGAGACCACCCTTGTAGTTGCCATAACATTTAGTGAAGAGGATTTACAAGTTCTCAAATATTACAAAACTGAAATGTCCTGGCTAAGAATAAATCACTGATGTAAAACAAGTTATTTCAAGCTTGACATGAAAATTAGAAATTAGAGGTTTTTACCCTCTCAGAAGCTAAGCACCCATCAGGAAGCAACAACAAAAAGTTACCATTTTCATGGCACCTCTCTTTGTTTCTGCTCTACCTTCTTGCCCATCCTTATACCTACATCTCTCATCCACCCTGCTCCACTTGGACATGGAAGCTGCATCTCTTCAAACTGAAAAATCCTGCTGTCAACACTTAAGTGGGATCTCATCTAGATTTGGGCAAGCTGCTAGCTAAGAACCAACACCAGGTCTCACAGCTAGCTGCCCCAACCACAGAACTGTCTTCTCCTCCCTCAGCATGGCAGTGCTCCTGAGATAACATGGTCCTGGATGCACTCCAGCACTCCAACACCTCCTGTGCAGCACAACACAGGGTCAGCTCCTGTTACCTTGCCTGAAGAGCTTTGGTCACAATCTCCACACTTCTTTAATGAAAACAATATAGACTGAGCCAAATCATTTAAGACATTTTTAGAGTTTCAAAAACCACAAACCAAGAAGCAATCCTCCTCCCCCCAAAGTTGAGTCCCTGCTTGTTTCTAACAACTCCTTTAAATAAATGCTGCACTTCTGCTAAACGGAGACAACATACTAGGAACAGAGAGCAGATTTTATTTGTTGCCAAGTAAGCTGCTTGTTTATAAGGATTTCCTTTGTCATACAATAAATTTATTCTCCACGTTGCTCTAAAGCAAGGATGTATTTTTAACCTCTTCCCAGGAAACAACAGCCACTGGCAGATCAAGTTACTGCAGACAGCCCTGCTCCAGCTCTGCTGTGGAATGGGAACACGGAACCCTGCCACAACCCAATTTCAAAGCCAGAGCTATTTCTCTTAAAACGTGACCTTCACCAGCTGCTAGAAGAGCAGCAGTGTTGCAGCCACGCACAAGACGTGGAAAGGACCAAACCAGATCATCTCCTCCACTCTTCTGATGAGGTCCATACAGATGTCAGGTTTTGTGCAGCCAACTTGCTGCAACGCCCGTTGGCGGGGACAGAAATTCCTTCAATCTGGCAGAGCTGGCTTTCCAATCGTTGACATATTTACCCTGCAGCCTCTCTGATTAATTCTGAATTCAGCCCAACTATGAGCTGCGTGGACGTGTTCAGTTAGATAAGGGACAAAGGGAAGGAGGGGAAAGAGCTGGTCCGTTTTCACTGCAACACATTGCTCACTTTAAGCAGCACGCCATCTGGGCTGAATAAAAAAGGGATTCGTGTTTCACTTGGAGGGGGACTGAGGAAGGAAAGTCAATCTGGTTTAGCAGCCACTTCCAAAAAACGTTAGCATCTAAATATTTAATACACACTGAGAAAGAATCCGGGGAAAAACAAAACGACAAGTCATGCAGAGCACTCCTCACTGGATTGAGAAAGCAAGTCAAGGATATCTTCCACAAAAAAACCCTTAAAGTAGGTAGTCACCCTGGCCAAGAAGGTCTGGAGGAAGAAATACTTCTTCAACAGCCTCATGAAGACCACCAGGAATTTCAGCCTCTTTGCAAAGAGGATCTACTGCCAAGGATGCAGCATGGACTACTCCTGAGTAACAAGTGATGGGACAAGAGCAAATGGCCTCAAACTGCACCAGGAAACGTTTTGGTTGGTTATTAGGAAAAATTTCTTCACCAAAAAGGTTGTCAGGCATTGGAACAGGCTGCCCAGGTAAGTCATGGAGTCCCCATCCCTGAAGATATTTAGAAGATGTGTAGCTGAGGTGCTGATGGAAGTGGTTTAGTGATGGACTTGGTAGTGTCAGGTTAATGCTTGGACAAAAGGAGATAGAACAAGTCAGTAGCTGGGATCTGCAGCAAAACTGCATCCAAAAGTCCTGCCTTCAATACCTGCCAATATTTGCTCACCAGCAAAACATCCCAACTAAAGAAAAGCAAGAGGTAGCACTTTTTAACCTTCCTCCTCTATCTTAGAAGGAAATACGCCGTGCTAAGTGACCAGTAGGATATTAAAAGATTGGATTCCTCAGAGACTGCAAAACTATTTACAAAAGCTTACATCCCAGGTCCAGCTGCTTCTGTAAATTTAGCTGCCAAGGACAGATGTCCTTATCATACTTCTTTATGTTGACATGAAGCCTCTGACTCACTCCACACCTACTTTATAGATCTCTAGGAGCGCAGACGATGCGCCAGAAGAGGGATTCAAAAGCTGAGCAGGAAGAATTGTGCTTTGCCTATAAATTTCAGTTTAACATAAGCATGGATAAACTTCACTGGCAACAGAAGCTATGTTGTCAGCAAGACAACACCAGTGGAACTAAGGTAGAGTGGGCTTAACACTCATGGCAATGAGAGGAAAGGCAGAGCTGGTATTTGCTTCTGAGAGGACATCCAAGTCAGGGCTCCTGCAGCCACCCAAAGAGTCTGTGGCAACAAAATCACTCAACCTCTTCACCCACTGCTAAAATGAACACAGGACACTAGTTTTTAAGAGGAAGGTCCCATGCTCAGTTCAAGTATGTAGGGGCATAAATGATTGCCCATTAACAGCACACCAACCAGAGGAGGGAAGTACACTGATGAGGACTAAGTTTACTTTCCATCTCTTCAGCAAACACCTTTGGGATGACTCAAAAAGTTGTTTGTATCTGCATCTTCATAAGCATATCCCATCAATCCCCAATACTTCCAGCCCTTCAGTTTGAGTTAGCTTTCCAAAGGTGCCTTTCCTGAACAGCAGACAAGCATCCCAGGCTGGCTTTGGAAAGCAGAGATAAGACAAGTTCTGTCTTGCTCTGCTGTGAAGCCTCCAACAACATCTAAGCCATCTGTCACAAGTAAAGGACACCTGCCAGTGATGCTCTGACAACTTAAATCCCTCTCAACAGTTTTAAACCCTATCCTCATTTAAACTGCCCCATGATTACATGGCTTATGCAATGCTAGAAGTTATGAGGGTTATTTGTACAGGCAGATTGACAGCCCCACTGCAAGACAGGCATCCAAAAATGTTCCCTGAGTGAAGCAGCAGGTAAATTAGTGATAAGTCCAAGAAATGC